GAAGCTAAATCTGCCCTAACAAGGAGACACATTCTGCAACATAAATCTCCTTACAGAGCATGGTCGAGTGATCCACCCCAGAGTCAGCAGCATAGATCAACTGCTGCAGCATGGATGTTATGAAAACCCTATACTGAGAAGTTTAAAATTAGTAATAGCTGACTGCAATAATACACATTTGGATTTACCTATTGAAAAGAATTAGGAGATGTGGGGGCTAATGGGAAAGCCCACCCTCCTTACCAAATTAATACTGGACAAACCTGTGTCATTTGGAAAAAAAGGTCATTTAGCAGGAATCAGGATGGATCATAAGAAGGAAAAAGCATGTGAAAGGGGAAGGCAAAAGGTTTGGAGCCCTATGGGCATAGTGGAAGGAATAAGGAAAGTAGGAATACAGTCACTGAAAAGTTAAATTAATAGAAATGAGAAACGTTTTCTTTGGTTGATGGAATGCGGCTCTATCGCACTTCGGCAGTGATGGGTAACCCAACATGAGATCCTGAGTAGCATGGCGGAAATAAGCACCAAGAGGAGGGTTTACTGGCCCTGCAGGCAAAGATCGAGGAGTTGGTGGCCAATGCCCAAAGATATATCGGGCCTGGTCATCCTGAGGGGTACACAGATAGGGAAACACCGTGGACCATGCCAAACACCTACCTCTGAGGAACTCAACCAGGCAGTAGAGGTCAAGTCTATTATCATGGGGAGCGCCAGTAAGGCGATGAAATATCTTGGGGATGGATTTGAATAGTGGTTGCCAAGTTGTGGGAAGTTTTGATTTTAACATTTATAGTAATGCTGGTGCTTTACTGGTACTTCCAGAGTAAATTAAAACCCCTTAAATTGTTGTATTTAACCTGGTGGGTTAAGGAGAACCCCAAAGTCAAGAGAAAGGAACTATAAGAGTAAACTGAGGCAGTCCATGGTATCTTGCTGAGAACTGAAACTCAAATCATTAGGTCAGCCTGAGAAGCATACAGTACAATAGTTACTGTGACCCTGGTTCCCCTGGCAACCACATTCCAAAGGGCCTCATTTTGATAAGGCCGGTATCAAACAACCGCGTGGGATTGTTTTCACGGTTTGCTTTATTCCTAGGAGATAACCTTGGTTCCAAAGGAGCCAGCTGGCGTTTAGAAGACTGCTCTAGAAGGACCAAGCTGTTAACCACCAACACTGCTGTGAAGTGCCAAGAACTGACTGTTGGCCAATGCTTCTCACTGCAAAAAGATCCCTCCATCTCGAAATGATCCTACCCCGACTGCTGACCTCTCTCTCCTTCTGGTCCTGCTTTCCCACCTGCTGGACACCAAAAGAACCAAAATATTACAGGGTGATGTGCTGGTAACCTCTCCCCTGCATGATGC